AAAAAAAAAAACTACCTAGTGGCCAGACGCAGTGGCTCACATCTGTAATCCCAACACTTTGGGAGGCCAAGGCGGGTGGATCACCAGAGGTCAGGAGTTCCAGGCCAACCTGACCAACATAGTGAAACCCTGTCTCTACTAAAAATACAAAAATTAGCAAGGCGTGGTGGAAGGCACCTGTAATCCCAGCTACTTGGGAGGCTGAGACATGAGAATAGCTTGAACCCAGGAGGCGGAGGTTGCAGTGAGCCGAGATCGCACCATTGCACTCCAGCCTGGGAGACAGAACGAGATTCCATCTCAAAAAAAAAAAAAAAAAGAGAAAAGAAACAACTACCTAGTGATGTAGTTTTAAAAAAAAATTGTTTTAAAGTAGCATTTTTAAAAAATTGGACTCTATCTAGAACCCTAATATAAAACTGATTTAAAACCACCATGTTATCACAGTAGAAGGGTTAGAAATGTGGCTCCTTGCATGTTTGGCCTTCTCCATCCCTTGTGGCAGTGTGAGGCCCCTCTTCAGAGCCCTAGAATTCTGTGGAAACATTCTAATAAACCACCCTCACATTTTATAGAGCAAGAAACAGATTAGAGAAGGGATGTGATTGGCTGCATGTCACTTAACTGGTTAAGAGCCAGAGCCAGGACTAGAACACATTCGCCTGAGACCTTTCTTGTGGTTAGAGGTGTGCAGGTGCTTCAGTATTGGGGTGTGGCTGTCATAAACAGACTGCAGTCTTGTAGGGGTCAGACAGGAGAGGTAAGAGGATAAAATGTAAGCGCTGCTGAGGCCTACTAGGGACCAGGTCGACTGTAGAGTGGGGCCTATATCCAGAGGCTTGAGTCCTATCTCTGTCCCTCTTCAGGGTGGTGTACCATGAGCTGGTGCTGACCACCAAGGAATACATGCGTGAAGTTACCACCATCGACCCTCGGTGGCTTGTGGAGTTTGCTCCAGCCTTCTTCAAGGTCTCAGACCCAACTAAGCTAAGCAAACAGAAGAAGCAACAGCGTCTTGAACCCTTGTACAACCGCTATGAGGAACCCAACGCCTGGAGAATATCCCGGGCCTTCCGACGGCGCTGAAAGGCGAGCTTGTTCATTTGCCTCTCCAGCAGCAGTAACCTGGGGCTTGGACTTATTCTCACTGATGACAGGCTGGTCCTGAGTATACAACTGTCCTGTGACTGACTGTCTTAACTGAGCATTTTCTCAGCTTGACTCATTTCTTCCCTGCTGGTAAAATAGAAACAGGGATTTAAGCCTGGCTTTCACAAGAGCCTCCAGCCCCCATCACCCCAAGTCCTTGGGACCAGTTGGGAGCTCATATCTAACACAGAAACACATTGCATCAACTTCAAGAAAGGGACAATTTGTGTAGCCCCAGGATGGGAAAGGGGAGTGGGTGAGCATCTTGTGCAGGGACACGGTGAGGGCCCTGATGCCCCAGCTAACAGGAGCTACTGTGCTCACCTGAAGTGTTTGCCCCACTTCCCACCCCCTCTCCAGCCCCTGTACTTTGGCTTGACCTCCTGGAAATATTTATTTTCTTAAGGAAACAAAAATGGTTTTCTGTGACTGTTCCTTTTAGCTGAAAGGTTAGGATATTGGCCTGGGCTCAGGGTGAGGGAGATTTAGTATCTGTGCTCTGGTGCACACGATGAGAGTCCCCTGAATCCCCTAAAACCAGAGCACAGGGCCTCTTTGCGCCCAGAACATACAGCCCAGACCTCCAGCCTTGTCTTTCAGCATCAGCACTAGCCGGGCCATGCTGGGGGATCGCCCCATGATTAACCATGTCCTCTCCACAGAGCACTTCAGTCTGGAGTCCTGAGTGGTTACAGATGGCGCATATTAAATGCAGAAGGTTTCCCCTTGCTCCCTCCACCTCCTACCACATTCACAATGTGCAGCATGTCCCATTTGCTTTTGAAACATACTAAGTAACAACACAACTTTTATTTTATTTTGTTTTTATTTTTCTCTCCTGAGGTCCTGGATGGACTTTAACAAAGGGATTTTATGGTCAAAGCCTCCCTTTCCCCACCCCAAACAGAAAACAAACATAACACCTCTCCTCTCGGCTGGCTTGTGCTGCCCAGTATCTGTGCTCCAGGGTTGGTTCTTGGTGGTTTTTTCCTAGCACTTGGTTGGGGAATGGCCACCTCCTTGTACTCCCCTCACAGCTCCTGAGGAGGCTTTTTTTTTTTTTTTTTCCTTTGCTTGCCATAGAGATGGGTTCCCACTATGCTGCCCAGGCTGCTCTCCAATTCCTGGCCTCAAGCAATCCTCCTGCCTCTGCCTCCCAAAGCGCTGGGATTACAGTCGAGAGCCACTGTCCTCGGCACTGAGGAGGCTCCTTACCTGGCGGAACATCAGGCAGGTCTTGCCAGGCCAGGTTGCAGAACTTGTGGAAAGCTGGTCTGGATGTAGTGCTTGTAGAGAAGCCTCTGGGAGATTGGGCACATCCGTTATGGTGCTGCTTCTCCCATCCTTATGTTATTAGTAAGTTCTGAAGTGATGTAAATGCTAGAACTACTATAGAACTGTATGCCAGACACGAAAAGAGACTATACAACATGCCAGGATATAAAGGAATGTATGTTGTCACTGGGCAGCAAACCACACCCTAAAGACACAATTCAGAAAAAGTCCAGGGAGAGGAATATAGGCCAGGCAGTCTGCTGACTGCAGATCCCTGCCCCTTCATTAAGCTGAGTGAGTGCCTCCTGATTCTGTCTGAGTATGTGCCTTCGTAAGCCCAGGCCAACAATCAAGGGGCAGGGCATTGTTGTTTGTTAACTTTGAAGGCCTTCTGGGGAGAGACAGTGCAGGAACTTCAAATGAAACCAAAGGGGAAACGGGGACTGGGCACCCACCTCCCCAATCTTGTTTTGTTTGTTTTTGTTGAGACAGGGTCTTGCCATGTCGCCCAGGCTGGCATCAAACTCCTGGGCCCAAGTGATCTTCCTGCCTCATCCTCCTGTGTAGCTGGGACTACAGGTGCATGCCACCACACTTATCTCCCAGTCCTAATTCCAGCCTAAATTTTCCCCATTCAGAAACACTCCTGGATATGGTGGCCCAGCCTGTCCTGACTGAGTGCCCAGCACTGACAATGTTGGCACCTGGGGAGGGAGGTTTGGGTTTTAAGCTGAGGTTGAAAAGGGATGTTGAATGGGCCAAGGATAAGGGACAGCAGGGTTGGTTATCTTTCTGGCTCAAGTGAGGAAAAAGGATCCCCATTCTGTGGGTGTTCCTTGACCATCTCTACCCTAGAGCTGAGGTCACTTCTCTGCTATGACAACATAGCTGGGTTCTGACCTTTTGACCATCAGGAGAGCAATGGCGGCAGCTGAGCTGAGTCTGATCTGAGGGAGGGGGTGGGGTCCTGTCCAGATGCAGAAGGGGAGCTTGCCTGCTGCTCTCACACAATGGAGTCTTTGTTTCTCTTCCTTGAACCAGTATTTCCCAAGATTGAGTGACAGCCCAGGAGAGGATATGGGTCTCATGCAGAGACCTGGGATCATCTTGGCCATTAAAGTGTATTATTCACCCCGACCCAGCGGGAACCAAGCTCAGGAGTTGCCTGCCTCTGCACACGTGCTGAGCGTGCTGTTGTGTATATGGGAGGACCGTCCCTATGGGGCATGTGTGAGCTCCGCTGCTGGGTCAGGCTTCTCGGTCCAGGTTTACTTCATCCCGCCTGGATGTGATTTGGCTTTGACTGTCTCTCCTGCAGCCCAAAGCACTTCCCGTGGTTGCTGTAGCTGTCTCATTGGAGCAGTGTCTCTCCAAGTTTGAGGATTTGAACAAAGAACTGGGACTGGTGACTTGTTAATGAACAGTTCAGAGGGCAGAGAGCAATCATCTCAGCTTGTGGAGGCCTTTCTTTCCCTGGATGCTGCTTCTCAGCTAAATCAATCTCTCTTCATGTGTGTACTTGGCCCTCTGGGTTTCCACCTGACTTTTATACCTTCCCACCAAGATAGCTTGGCTTTAATGTGGAATTAAATTATATATTTTTAAAACTTGATTTAAAAAATTTGTTTCTTGCACTAAATTGTGTCAGTACATTGATGTTTTGTGTTTCTAGGAAGAAGTAATGTTGCCTTTTATTTGTGGGTAGTGGTCAAGGGGCATCCCTTCCTGCAATGGATCATGGATCATCTCAGGTTAGTGCTAGGCCAAGGCTGCTGGCAGTTCAGGCATGAACAGAGTTGGGCTGGCCCAATCTCAGCACAGCTGCAGTTTCTATTTAACAGGAGAGCACCTGTTTTTACCTGAGCGTGTCTCCTGGGCAGCGGTTTACATAGGAGCTGGCTCTAGAACCACTCATTCTGCCCCTCCCACCTCTTGTCATATCTACTCAGTTATACTTCCTCCATCGGTGTCACCATGTTGTCCGCTTTGCCATTTCTACCTACCCCCAAAAAAGTCAGCCTCAGGACTCTGATCTCTCCCAAATTTGGGCAAGGAGAATCTAGGTGTTTCCCACTCCCCCAAAGATCTAATCTCCACTGGCCAGAATCCAGGGCCTGCTCTAGCCTCTCTCTGTACCATCTGGCCTGGGAGCCTTTCTCCTTTGCCCCATTCTCCAGACAAACACTTGTCCCCAACCCCAGCAAAAGTAGCAACCTAGAGCTGAAGTAGGATGGAGGACATGCAATTGGGGTCTATGTGGGGCAGCAGGGTCATGGGAACAATTAGGATCACAGAAACCAAAGACCAAAACCCTGTCTGAGGAAGTCCCAGGAGGGAGAGCCTTGCAACTCAGTAGCCCACCTGCCCCTCCCGCAGGGGCAGGGAGACTGCTGCCGGAAGCAGGCCCAAAGTGCACAAGGGGGTACCTATCCAGGTTATCAAGTACCCCCTGTCCATTATTTCTGGATCCTCACACAGTAATGCTGGGAGAGGGGAAGGGCAGGTATCATTAAGCCCATTTTTCAGAAGAGAAATAGTCAGGTGAACTGCCTTTTTTCAAATCCACATGGGGATTTAAGTGTCAGGGCCTGGCCCCAAACCAGTCAGCTCTGCTTCAAGGCCAGAGCTCTTTCTACCCCCAGGTCTGTTCCCACATGGCAGCAAAGAGGACACAGGAGAACTAATGGGAGAAGTGGGGGCCTTTATTAAGGTCTGGCAGATGTGGTGGAGGTGGAAGTGGAAACCCAGGCCTGAGCCTAGGAAAGGGCAGAAGAAAGGCAAAGGGTCCCTTGGAGCAGGAACCCATCCCTCTCTGCTTCTACCCAGCACCCCCCATCCCAGGTTCCTTTCTTCAACCTCCCCCTGCTTCTGGGAACACAGAGCACCAACAACTGACAAGCCGGGACACTCCAGGGCCATAGCGTGGGGCAGAGTCCAGGCTTCTGTCTCCCCGCAGTGGGAGATCTGGGGAGCTCAGTGAACCTCCTCACCCTCCTGCCAGTGTAAAGTTGGGAAGCGCCTTCTCTGTCCCCCAGAAGAGAACTCTTGTTCTCTGTGGTTGGGGAAAAGGTGTGGGGAGCTTGGACCTAGGAAGAAGATGAGCTGAATTCCTCTAGGGCCCAGGTGAAACCCCCAGGGGAGTTTCTGAGACTCTACCTTTAGACTTGCCATTTCTCCACTTTTCCTTCCCAATGACTCTGGTGAGCAGCTCAGAGTCTGGGCTAGGGCAACTGGTAGGACAGTGGAGATCTGACCCAGAGACATCTGTGGGTTTCAGATGAAGGTTTCCCCAACACCAAATTCATCTATATGTACACAGGGCAGCACCCACCTGCGGCAGGGGGAACAGCCGCTGGGGGCTAGTAAGAGTAGCCACCCTTGGGGCCAAACGGCTGGGCAGGGCCAGCCAGCTCTGGGAGGTAGGCGGGGCTCTCGTCCAAGTGAGACAAAGGGACTGTGTCCTCCTCACTGACAGGCCGGTCAAACTCGGCCTTGAGAGCTGGACGCTGATTGTCCGGGAAGGCCAAAGAGAAGAGGGCCTCGGGCTCGCACACAAACTTGTACACGTAACGCTCACCAGCCACCTATGGGGAGAGAGAAGGGCTGGTCAGCCTGGCTAGCCCCCCAGCCTTTGTATGGGGTAAGGTAGGGGAGCAGGGAATGCGGCCCTTCTACCAGTCCAGGCAGATGCTCGGGGCATTTCTCTCCTATGCTGGTTCTCCTGAGAAGCTGACTCTCCCTTCACAGTTCTTATCCCTTTTTCATCTCAACTTCTCCATGCTTGGGCTTCTGAGTTGCACTTTTTTGGGAGAGGAGAACCTTGACAATTTCTTGTCCCTCTGACTGATTCATTATCTGATCCTACAAAGTTGCTGAGAACTGCTCCGCTGACCCTCTCCCCCCATCAACTTCTCATGGCCACTGCCCTCCACCACCTTGTCCCTAGACCCACAGCCCCCACCTTCTGCATGATGCCTTTCTCGTAATAGTATCGGAGCGAGCGGCTCAACTTGTCGTAATTCATGGCTGGCCGGTTCTTCTGGATGCCCCAGAGCCTGGCGACCTGGGGACAAAACAGTTTTGGGGTAGAGATGCTACCTCAGCAGAGGAAAAAATGGGGTAAGGTCAGAAAGAGCACTTG